TTGGTCCAGGCATACAATGTCACATTGACCTCTGTGTGATTAAGTCAAAGTTCCTTAGCTTGAATCAAATGCCAGGAGTGAGAAAACTTAATAAGACAGATTTGTGAAAATGCTGAGGATGGCCAGCTGCTAGGCCACTTGTGCCAGTCAGTCAAATTTTGGACACCATGGAGACATTCCTGAAGGAAATTGAAAGTGTACTGCAGTTGACAGACATCCAGTAAGACAGTCTTTTCAGCTTTGTGGCTGAACCTTTTGGGGTCTAAATAAAAGATCAAACCTTTAAGCCAACATTACCTTACATCAAACCTAATGTGGATTTAGCCCCTCCCCTCAGTCTGTGAAGCCAGGGAGATGTGAAGAAACTGCTGCAGAAGAGCTGGACGACTGTGAAAATGGTTCCTGGGGGTGTAAACAAAGACGCTATCTCCTGCACACCCGGTGTACAGCAGAAGTCACAGGTGCTGGGGAAGGAGCTACAGCTGTCCACAAGATCTGGGTCAGGGAACTGGGGAGAGTGACTGTGCTCTTAGCCGATTCTCAGTGTAGATGCAGAAGTTTCTTGTCAGACCCGAGGGGTCCTCTTTCCCCCAGGCCTGTTGGCCACCATGTGGAGAGGGGAAAGAAGCAGATCAGGCAACAGACAGCTTTGGTGGCCCTTGAACATGAATAGAGGCTGTCCTCTGGGAGACAGATTTCTGTGTATCAGCTCAACTTTATCCCAGAATATAAGGAATATATAGGACTGGAAAGCCTGGGAGCAAACCTACTTTGCATTAAGGGGCATGCTCCTAACACAAGGCTTTGCACGTGACAGTAGGATCCTATAGCGGGCTCCTAGTACAAGTCTCCTTAGTAGGGATCAGTGCCCAGTGTCAAGATAAAGATAACTCAGGCGTCTGATTTAGAGACAGCTTTAAGTTAAGGTCAGTTCTTCAGGCCCACACACATTCTCCAGATAAGGCTGAGTGGAGAGCAGGAAGCTTTGCTGGAGAGAGGAACTTTGTGTTGTGGAGCTAATGAGTAATCTACCAGGCCACAGGGAGACTGCGACCTCAACCAGTCAGCAATGTCCTCTAACATCAGAAGATACCCTCTAGGACTTCCCTGTAGGACTGAAGAGGCTGGCTTCAGAGCATCAAAGAGCAGGACGATGGTTTTGCTAGGGGCCCAGGCAGTGGACAACTTTAAATTGAAACCCATGATCACATGGCATTCTGAAAATTCTAGTGCATATTAGAAGTAGAGCATCTATCTCCCTCTGTACCCTGTGACAGGACAACAAAACCCAGGGGCAGCACAGCTGCCTAAACTGAACATGTTTAGTTGGAATGCACAGTTGGAATGCACTTGGCAGGAACAATTTCTATTCTTACTTCAGGAAGCACACAGCTCCCTGGAACTCAAACTGAGAAGCATGAGGTGGCTTCTCTCCATGCTGCTAGCATGACCTCCATTCTTCAGCCCGTGGATGACCGGGTTCGGGTCCTTTGATGCAGCAAATGTGTTCACGTTTTGAACGGCTATGACTGAGAGAGATAGTGACCGTTCTGATGAATTGAAACTCTTCTAGAAATGATTCACGATCCTAGATGTCATTAAAATATTCACAACTCATTGGAGGAGATCAAATATGAAAACTGTGAAGAGCTTGCTAGGAGTTGATTTCAGTGTGAATGAAGGGCACAAGATTTCAGTGGCACAAGAAGCTGCAGATGTAAGCGGCAGGTGGGCCAGGACTAAGGGGAGCCTGAAGACAGGTCTAACATGGTCACCAGGAATTTTAGGGTAAAAGTCCCATGATCCAGGCTCTAGGTGTCTCAAGGACTGAGCTTGACCAACAGTCCCAGTATGGTAAGCAAGATAACGTCTGGCAAAGGCCCCATCTGCATCATCAGAGTGACAGGCTGAAGAAATACTGAAACCAGCCTGGCCACGTATCAATTTAGTCTCCTATTTCTCCAAGTGAACTATCGATAATAGCACTTGAAACACCAATTCTAATAAAATTTTATGGCATGTGAGTGTCTCAGAGGTATTTGATACAAGAGAAGAAAATTAAATGATGATTCATGCACCCTAGGCCCCAAACAAGGCAATGGGGTATTGTCAGAACCCAGGAATAAAACTCCTGCCAATTCCATCTAGAGCCTCAATCTATGGTGTCTCACAGTCCGTGAAGGAAAGCATCCTTCTGTAGTCAGGACCTGTGTCCATTCAGAGTAGACACTGACCACCTGCGATTACCAAAGTGTGAAAAGTTTGAAGTTCTGCAAGATGCTGAAGTGTCTTCACATTTAACATTTAGGTTTAGTGTCTTAGTCCCTGCATTTTTACCTCAGATATTCAACATATTGAAGTCCCTGCACACTTGTGTGTTGTAGGTAGAATTCATATACTGACTTCTCCTGGTACCTACCTGGCAGGTTTACTATATTCTGTCACGATGCCCTTTTGGAGTTGAAGAGGGGAAGAAAAAGATTGGAATCGAAAGATTGCTAAACTCCAACACTTACTTATCTGCCTACCCACTCCATGATGTGAGTATCAGCTACCTCCACAATGCAGAGCCTATTTCCTATCTCACAGTCACAGCCTGCCTTCCTGAGGGATCGAACAATAGTTCAACATTTTTCCATATTTTTAACAAACTGCTAGTTCTCCTTTGCAAAGGGAAAACGTCCAGACTCCCTGCTTCCAACCTGAGGAGTGTCCTTGCAAGGCTAAAGTGCATTCAATGTCTTTTTACGCTGGTGTTTCTAATGAAAAGTACTTTTAATGATCATTTGTATTTGCACATAGTATTTTCTTTAGGATCCATTCTCTAAATATTACATAACTGGGTGACACGTTACTCAGAAATTTCTATCTTGTCTTTTCTCATAGATTTTGAATCTTGTAATGAGTAAATACACTCATGTTTATCATGCAATAGAGAACTGGATTCAATCACAGGCAAAGTATTTTGCTGGCTATTATTTTCACACAACCATGAATCCAAGTTCAGAGGTCAGGGCTACCTAGAAATGAAGCAGATGTCTGGAGGATTCCTAGGAATTCCTATAGTGCCAGGTTTTTTGCTAGCCCCACAATGGCTTCCTCAGTCAAAACATCTCCAAGATCCTCCCTACCTCTCCTCCCACCCAAATCCACACCCTTCCCATCTCTCATTAGAAGTGGTGTTTGAAGGCCTGCAGTCAAACTTTTCCACACGACTTAAACTGCAACCAACCAATCAACACTGTGAAATATGACTTTAAGTTGGTTCTGCAAGGATGACTGTGATCTGCTTCCTGTAGGTTGCAGTAGCAATTTCATAGAAGCATTTTCCCCTTTTAACACACCTGTGATCCTTTAGCATAAAGGAGGGAAACTGTCTGTCCTCCTTTAATGCTTCCCACCCCAAGATGTCCATAGTCTTTCAGAGAAAAGCAGTGTGGGGGATCCAGTCAAGAGACCAATATATACTATACTTAGGAAGATCCTGTTAGAGTAGTGTACATGTTGCTAGGCAATTTTGTTAATCTTTATTTACAAAGATGATTATGCTTTGAAAACTTTAAGGATTTTATTTACCTTCAGGACACTGATTTTTTTTTTTTTTAGTCCATTGCCCTGTTATAAATCCAGCGCCTGCCATGGTCCCAGGGTATTTTAAGCTGTGCGTCCAGCCTTTCAGCACAGCTTCCCTTGCTCATTGGAAATGAATGGCACTGAGCTGTCTTTAGGAGGAGCTAGCCTTCACCATCTTTGACATTTGTCAACTTTGAAGTGCTGGGCTTTCTCTCGTGTGCTTTCTAGAGAGGTGATTTACACCAGCCCCAAACACCATCCTTGGGACACCGTCTTCAGTTTTCACTCCCTAAAAGTCAGTGGTATTACCTACAGAACAACAAAATGCTTGAATTTGTAGGGTATAAAATGTCACTCTTTATCATAAACCTTCACTTGTGTTAAACTTGAAGCTGGATCCTCACTCAGACTGTCCTCAGTCATTCTCTCCTCTGCAGTTTTCATGTCCACGTAATGTTCTCACAGCTTAAACAGCTGCTGTGTGAATGGCACTGTGTTTCCTGGACCAGCTTGATAAATAAATCACTCTGTGGTTTCTTAGGAAAATGTTAGCTAATGACTTGATATGACTGGAGTATGAATTAGAAGTCAATCAGCAAAAGATGCTTTCAGTTTTGCCCACCGGTCCAGAGAGGCTCCCTCCCCACCATCTGGGTCTCTCATGTTCTCCTCTTACACTCTCCTTGACTGTGCACAGGGCCAGTACTGGAAGCCATCCAGAACTCCTTCTCACATCAATGAGAGGTACACCCTTCACCAGAACTGGGCTCGGTTTTCCTACTTTTACAAGGAGCAGCCTTTAGATTTGATTCGGTAAGTCATTCTGCGTCATGACCACAGGAAACCTTGCTCAGTGTGCTTGTTACCCTCTGTGTTTCCTAGCCCCTCTCTTTACTATTGATTGTTCATTTGGTAGAAGATACTTGTTGCCACCATCTAAGAAAGGAAGGATGCAGCATGACTATTAAGGGTCAGGATCTATTTAGCATTTAGCTAAATTGTAATCAGTCTAGTTCCTGCCTTGTACAAGTAGCTCTCACTTGGTCATGATACTGAAATGCTGTGTGGTTCATCTCGTAATGTGGCAATGATGTTTTATTTTCCTTTGAAAATGTAATATGATATGTCTACATTTTAGTTTAAGTACATATACTAAGTTTGCTTTCTTCCCAAGTAGAAGAACTTAGAATACAGGAGAAACTGGTCTGTGAATTTGGATGTGTTCATCTCAGAGATCTGTCCTATAATCTCAATTTTTAACATGCTTGCAACAAAAGCAAATAGGTAAAAGAATCAAAGGATATATGTAGATTTTTAAGATTTTTTTTATTTTTTTTCTGTGTATTTGGAATTGTTTCCAAACAGGAACAATAATAAAAACAAAAGCTCATAAATAGACTTATGTATAATAATGACTTGATTTTCAGCAAAGGGAACTAAGAAGTCCATGTGGGAAGACGCAGTGTAAGAGCAAATGACAGTGGCACAGGTGATGAGCACACAAGGTGTGCATTTGAACAACAAAAATGCAGCCGTGAACTTGGGCAGGAGCTGTAAAGTTAGGATGGAAATCAAAAAGGGGGGTTAATGGTACACGTATGAGATTGCCAAAGAACAAACAAACAAAACGGAAGTGATCATTTTAAATTAGTCACAAAAGTTGTCAAAGTAACTAGCTATGACCTGATTTGAATAAAGTCCCACTCAGTGAGAAGGAACCCATGCTCAACGCTGCCTAAATGGCCAAGAGCCTGAGCTTGGGTATGTTGTGAACCTAGGGGAAAACTAATTACGACTACTGTTCTGCTAAAGGAACACAGCAATAAAAATGACTCGTAATGGCATCTGCTGTACTCATAGACCAGGGTCTTACTCAGACGTCATCAGAGAAGCTCCTTCCTGTAGCAGATGGGAACAAATACAGAGACTCACAACTGCACAATGTGAGAGACCTTGAAACACTCAGTCCAAAATGGAATGTCTCCCTCAAATCCCTCCCCCTCAGAACTCAGGGAACTCTAAAGAGGCAGGCACAGAGATTGTAGAAACCAGGGTGGGTGGTGGACACCAAAGAAACACGGCCTTCTAAACACAACAGAACCAATGCACATATGAATTCAGAGACTATGGCAACCTCCTACAGAAGGGCTGCACAGATAAGGTCCAAGAGTTGACACAGGACACAAGTCCCAATCCCTAACCTAGAACTTATCCAATTGATAACTACTCACACAAAAAAATAGTTTCTTCTGGAAGAGTTTCACTGGGTTTACAAACCATACTTAAGGGCAGGCCCCAGGCTTGGCAGTCAGTAGCCAAGTCAAAAAAAATGAGTTCTACGTGTTTTGGGAGGGTTTCAGTCCTGCAGTGTTTTGACAGCAATTTTTACTGTTTGTTTATTTATTTATTTTACTGTACAGGTCTTTTGTTGATATGTTATGGTTTCTGAATCTGTTTTTATTAATATTCTGTATGTTTGTCAATGTCTGTAGGTGTCTCTTATGCTTTTCCTGTGGCTTTTTTTCCCTGTCTGTTTTGTACTATTCTAGATTGTTTGTTTTTATTTTATTATTATTTAGATGCCTGTTTATATTCTGAGAGAGAGAGAGAGAGAACATGGAAAGGTGTGCATTTAGGTGCGTAGGGAGGTAGGGAGGATCTGGAAGGAGTTGGGAGAAGAGAACCATAATCAAAATATACTATATGGAAAACATCTATTTGCAATAAAGGAAAAAGAGATTACAAAAAAAAGAAAAACAGGCAAAATCTGAGGTTTTCAAGATATCCAGTTTTCTCATAAATTCCTAAGAATTCTTGTGTATGTAGCAACTGTATCTCCTAAGATGGACTCTGTGAAGTTTAGGAAAAAGAATATAAAAATATAGGTACCAAAAATTAGAATGTAGGAAGAAAGACATTAAATTTGTAATCCTAAAAACAAGAACAAACTACCAACAGCCTTCTCAGCAGCTTAAGGATGAATTGTCAGCAGTGGATTGTTTCATTTTATAACTGGCTGCTTTGTTTACAAGACGAAAACATCCCTCTGCAAACTGAGAACTGTCCCTAAGATAACACCCTGGCCAACCATGATCAATGATGGATATGAGCTGAGTTAACCTTTAGAGGTTGGGGTATATGTGACTTTTCAGTTATGCATTGTCCCTGCTAAATGAGACTGGCAGCATTACGGGGAGTGTAGAGCTTTGGTAAACACCATCAGGGAGTGCCAGGGAAAAACAAACCTAAAATACAAGCACTAGTCTAACTAAAAAACTCTGTTACTGGAAATTGGAAAGAAGGGCAATTTATATCTAACTTTCACTTCAAGATTGTAAAAATTCCTTTGTTTGTACCTAAGGCTTGCCTCTTGTTATAAGAATGGGGGGTCAGGAACCATATTGGCCACAGTTACAGAACCCATGTCTCTGGCTGTGGTCTCAGCTAGCTGACAAGCTTTGGTGCTCCACAAAGTTTTTATACTTTTTTTTCCTGGAATGAAGTTTGTTCCTGATTTACTCGACTTTTGTGGTCTGTCCCCATCTATGCATGACCCCCGTGAACCCAGCATTCTGCAAACATTAATAAGGCAAAAGCAGATCAAATAGAATATGTTCAAAAATAAAACACTTAGGAGAGAACCTGGGTCCTCCAAAGGAATAGGCAGGAACCAGAGATCTCAGTAGGGCCAGGTTTGAGTCTGGGACCTCAGAGAGAGAAGGTCTGAGCCAGAACCTCTGTGAGTTAGGGCATTGGTCTGGGACATCAAAGGGAATAAGCAAAAACCTGGAACCTCTGCAGGTCTGAGCATGAGTCTGGGACGTCTGAAGAAGTAAGCATGTCCTCTGTGGGTCTCGGAGCACCCAAGCCTGGGACCTCCAAAACAGGAACCAGAAACCTTTCCAGGTCCAACTCCAACCAAGGGACTTCCGCAGGAGGGAACCCAGCCCAGGATTTACAGATACAGGTTAAAACCAGTAACCTAGGCCAAAGTTGCCCTGAGGCAAGGAACTCTACCTTGGGCAACAAATTCCACAGGAGTGGGACTGAGGAAACAAACTCCACCAGGAGCAGAAGCCAGGAACAAATCCAGACCCAGGAGCCTAGCCAGTCCCAGAACACTGGCAGATCAGGACTGAGCCAGCAATCAGATCCAGAGTCAGTGATCTCCACCACAACAGGTCCAACTCTAAGCCAGGGTCTTCTGCAGGAAGGGATCCAGACCAGGATTTACAGAAACATATCAAAGCCAGCAACCTAGGCTAAAGTAAGCCTGAGACAGCAAACTCCAAGGAAGCAGAGCAAAGCACAGGAGTGCTGAGCTATCTCCAGGAATAGGAGTAACCAATGAGGTAACTAGAATTGTGACACTAACTATATTACGAGGCACAACCATCTGAGCTTTGGATTCACTGGCATTTAGAAGATTATTCAACAGAATCTCAGACAGTCCCAACCACACCTATTAGAGGAAAAGATGAGTAGAAAAGGTAAGATCACATGCCACACCACAAAGAGAAACACAATGCCAGTAAAAACTAAAGACCCTAAAACAGAGAGGGCGGGAGAGATGGCTCAGTGGTTAAGAGCATTGGCTGCTCTTCCAGAGGTCCTGACCTGAGTTCAGTTCCCAGCAATCACATAGTGACTCACAACCACCTCTAATGAGATCTGGTGCCCTCCTCTGGCGTGCAGGCATACATGGAGGCAGAATGTTGTATCCATAATAAATAAATAATTCTTTTTAAAAAAGACCCTAAAACAGCAAGACATGATCAACGAAATATGGATGAACCAGAAGAAAATGACCTAAAATATAATTTCAATATAATGTTTGAAATTCTTAAAGATGAAAAGCAGAATTCCCTTAAAGAAATGGAGGAAAAGACAAACAAAAAATTGAAGGTATCAACAAACCACTTAAAGAAAACCAAGAAAAAGAAATCAAACATATAAAAGAAACTATCCAGGACTTGAAAATTGAAATAGAAACAAAAGAGAAAACACAAGCCAAAGGGATTATAGAAACAGAAATAATGAGAAAAAGATCAGGAACCACAAATACAAGCACGAACAGCAGAATATAGGGGATGGAAGAGAGATTCTCAAGTGTTGAAGATACAATAGAGCAAATAGACTCATCAGTTAATGAAAACATTAAATCTAACAAAAGCTTTACCCAAAATATCCATGAAATATGGGACAACATGAAAAGAACAAATCTTAGAATAATAGGTATAGAAGAAGGAGAAGTTCAACATAAGGCACAGAAAATTTATTTAACAAAGTCATAAAAGAAAACGTTCCCTACCTAAAGAAAGTTATGCCTATGAAGATACAAGAAGCTTACAGAACACCAATCTTGCCATATTATAACCAACACACTAAACATTCATAGTAAAGAAAGAATATTAAGAGCTGCAAAGGAAAAAGGCCAAGTAACATATAAAGATAGACCTATCAAAATTACATCTGACTTCTCATTGGAGACAATGAAAGCCAGAAGGTCATGGTCAAGCATTATGCAGGCATTAAGAGACCACCAATGCCAGCCAAGACTACTATACCCAGAAAAACTGTCAATTACCATAGAAGGACAAAAAAAGATATTCCATGACAAATCTTGATTTCACCAATACCTAGCTACAAACCCAGTCCTACACATAATTCTAGAAGAAAAACTCCAAATCAAGGAAGATGACTACACCAACAAAAACACAGACAATTGGTGATCTCATTAGAGCAAATCCTGAAGAAGAAGAAAAAAATGCACAAATTGACATCACCAATGATGAAAACTAAATTAACAGGAGATAGCAACCACTGGTTATTAATATCCCATAATGTAAATGGATGCAATTCACCTATAAAAAGGCACAGCCTAACAGACTGGATACGAAAACAGAATCCATTCTTCTTCTGCATACAAGAAATCCATCTCAACCTCAAAGACAGGCATCTTCTCAGAGTAATGGGTTGGGAAAAAATATACCAATCAAATGAACCTAACAAACAAGCGGGTGCAGCTATCCTAATATCTAACAAATAGACTTCAAGCTAAAATCAGTCTTTTAAAAGAGACAAAGAAGGTGATTTCATATCACTCACAGAAAAAATACATCAAGAAGAAATTTCAACACTGAACATCTATGCCAAAAATATAAGAGCACCCTCATATGTCAAAGAAACACTTCTAAAGCTTAAATCATATATTTAACCCCACACACTATTAGAGGGAGACTTCAACACTCCCCTCACACCACTGGACAGGTCAGTCAGACAAAAAATGAACAGAGAAATAATTGAATTAACAGATGTTAACACTCAAATGGACTTTGACATGTATAGAATATTCCATCCAAACAGAAAAGAATATACCTTCTTCTCAGCACCTCATGGAACTTTCTCAAAAAAAAAAATTGACCACATACTTGGTAACAAAACAAACCTCAACAAATACAAAAAAAAATGGAATAACCCAATGTACCTTATCAGCTCACCATGGTCTAAAACTAGAAGTCAACAGCAATAATAATTCCAGAAAACCCACAAACACAGGAAAATTAAACAATGCTCACCTGAATCATCAATGGGTCATGTAAGAAATAAAGGGGGAAATTAAAGACTTCCTAAAATTCAATGAAAATGATCACACAACATACCCAAATTTATGGGACACAATGAAAGCAGTGTTAACAGGCAAGTTCATAGCACTAAATGCCTACATAAAGAAGCTAGAAAAATCCCACACTAGTGAATTAACAGAACATTTGAAAACTTTAGAAGAAAAAGAAGCAAACTCACCTAAGAGAACTAGATGGCAGGAAATAATCAAGTTGAGAGATGAAATCAACAAAACAGAAACAAAGAAAACAATACAAAGAATCAATGAGACAAAGAGTTGATTTTTTGAGAAAATCAACAAAATAGACAAAACTTTATCTAAAGTAACCAAAAGGCAGAGAGAGAATATCCAAATTAACAGAATCAGAAATGAAAAGGGGGACATAACAACAGACACTGAGGAAATACAGAGAATCACCAGGTCATATTTTGAAAACCTGTACTGCACAAAACTGGAAAACTTAAAGGAAATGGACAACTTTCTGGATAAATATCACTTACCAAAATTTCATGAAGACAAGACAAGCAAATTAAACAGACCTATAACTGCTGAAGAAATAGTCATCAAAAGTCTCCCAACCAAAAAAGCCCGTGACCAGATGATTTCAGCTCAGAATTCTTTTTTTCCACTTCAACAACAAACCCAATTATTTTATTTTAAATTTTACTTTTAAACAGATAAATATATGAAACAATCAATGTTTTTTTTAAAGGGGGGAATAATGGTCATAAAACTTACCACTTGAAAAAGCAGAGCCAAAGTTCAACTTGATGGCTTTACTAACAAGATTATAATGAAGATAATCATAAATGTGTTTATCAGTTAGGTAGTCATTTTTACTCAAAGGCTAAAAACAAAACAAAGTCCCAAGAAATTCTTATTTGTTCTTACAGACTTAGAATAGAAGCTGAGTGACACATCTTAAACACAGCGACTAATGGCTACACATTCTTTGCAATGGAAACCATACTACAGTGACATGTGACACTAGAGGTATCAATCAGCTCAGAATTCTACAAAATTTTCAAAGAACTAATACCAATGCTCCTCAAATTGTTCCACACAATAGAAACAGAAGGAACATTGCCAAACTATTTTTATGAGACTACAACTACCCTGATACCCAAACCACATAAAGACATTGTCAAGACCAATCTCACTCATGAACATTGATGCAAAAATACTAAATAAAATATTGGCAAATCGAATCCATTAACACATCACAACCATCATCCATCATGATCAAGTCGGATTCATTCCAGAGACACAGAGATGGTTCAACATACAAAAATCTGTCAGCATAATCCACCATATAAACAAACTGAAAAATAAAAACCACATGATCATCTCATTAGATGCTGGAAAAGCTTTTGACAAAATACAGCATCCCTTCATGATAAAGGTCTTGGAGAAAACAGGGATACAAGGAACATACCTAAACATAATTAAGGCAATATGCAGCATGCCAACAGCCACCATCAAACTAAATGGAGAGAAACTCACAGAGATTTCACTGAAATCAAGAACAAGACAAGTTTGTCCACTCTCTCCACATCTATTCAATATAGTTCTTGAGGTCCTAGCTAGAGCAATAACAACCAAAAGGAGATCAAGGGGATACAAATCAAAAAAGAAGTCAAACACTTACTGTTTGCTGATGATATGATAGTTTACATAAGTGATCCAAAAAATTCTTCCAAGGAACTTCTATAACTCATAAACACTTTCAGCAATGTAGCAGGATACAAGATTAACTCAAAAAAAAAAAAAACAGTAGCCCTCCTGTACCCAGATGATAAAAGGTCTGGGGAAGAAATCAGAGAATCAACACCCTTCACAATAGCCACAAATAGCATAAAATATCTCAGAATAACTCTAACCAAACAAGTGGAAGACTTGTATGACAAGAACTTTAAATCTATGAAGAAAGAAATTGAAGAAGACACCAGAAAATGGAAAGATCTCTCATGGTTTTGGGTAGGCAAATTAACATAGTAAAAATAGCAATTTTACCAAAAGCAATCTACCGATTCAACGCAATGCCCATCAAAATCCCAGCAAAATTCTTCAAAGACCTTGAAAGAACAGTACTCAACTTCACATGGAAAATCAAAAGACTAAGGATAGCCAAAACAATTCTGTACAATAAAAAAAAACTTCTGGAGGCATCACAATCCCTGACTTCAAACTCTACTACAGAGCTACCATTCTGAAAACAGCTCGGTATTGACATAAGAACAGACAGGAGAACTAATGGAACTGAATGGAAGACCCCAGATACCAATCCACACATCTTCGAACACCTGATCTTTGATGAAGAAGCAAAATATATCAAATGGAAAAAAGAAAGCATATTTAACAAGTGGTGCTGGCATAACTTGATATCAACATGTAGAAGAATGAAAATAGACCCATATCTATCACCATGCACAAAACTCAAGTCCAAAGAGATCAAAGACCTCAACATAAATCAGCCACACTGAACCTTATAGAAGAGAAAGTGGGACGCACACCTGAATGCATTGGCACAGAGAACCACTTCCTCAGTATAACCCCAGCAGCACAGACACTTAGAGAAACAGCATGAGACTGTCTCAAAAAGGAAAGACAGAAAGAAAAAGAGAAAAGAATATTAGTGTCTTTTTGATGATCTTGATGTTGTGTAGTATTAGAGAAATTGCTTTATTCATTAGTAAAATCTCAGAGAGATGTAGCAGGGTCATTGACATTTACTGTGGGGAAGTGTCAACAGCTGATTGCCTAGGGACTGTGACAGACAACATTGTGGGAAAAAAAATGAAAGCAAAACTGCAAAAATGTTTACCAGCACTGAAAAGAAAACACAGTACACACAGAGACACCTATTTAATTAGAAAGGTTTCAAAAGCTGAAGAATTAATGTGGGGCATGTGAAATCTATTTAAAATCTGCTTAAAATGGTCTCCATGGGAGGTAAGAGCTATGTCCCTCAGTCACCATCTGTAGTTCTCAGAAGTATTAAGTAGCAAACTTTCAGTCCCTGAGGGCAGTCAATCCTGTGGGAGGTTGTAGCCTGGTGATGAGTTCTCTAGGAGGGGAGGGCTTGTCTGCAGGTCTCTGAGAGTGTGCTCAGCTAAACCTGGCCCTGAGTCCAAGCAGGTGTCGGAACAACACTGTCAACTCCTCCACTCTGTTGCAGTTAGGCCCGAGTGCCATCAGAACACCCAGTTCCACTGTAGAAAGGAACAAGGCAATCGGGCAGACGATGTCTGTCTCTTTAATTTGTCAATTGCTACAGGTTGCATTTCTTTAATAACTTAATATATATTTGTTTACTATATAATAATGTACTTTAAACACATGGAGGCTTTAAGATGTGTGAGTTCTTAATATGATATTATTAAAAATTTAGATCCTATCCTAATGGCTTCCTTCATCCATGGGCTATTTCTTTTCATCTTTACCACTATAAACTTGCCTGCCAGAGTGGAGCCAGGGCACTTGGCCCACAGTTTTCTTCCAGCCTCTGATTCTGTCTCTCGTTCACAGGAATTATTATGGAGAAAAGATCGGCATCTATTTTGTGTTTCTCGGGTATTACACAGAAATGCTGTTGATTGCGGCTCTGGTTGGCTTAGCCTGCTTCATCTATGGTTTGTTATCAATGGAAAATAACCAAACTAGGTGAGCACAAGAGACTGGCACAGATAGAGACTGCCTAGGCCTAAGCTGCTGGAGCCTCTTTATTTCCCCACATTTACCTCAAAATGCTTCCTATGACCACAGACATATTTTCAAAGCAGACTCATGTGTAGTGCTTCTACGTGTCAAGGGCTTTATGGAAACTGCCTTTTGCTGTTGTTTTGGCTTTAATTTCACTTATTTTATCCTCATTTATTCTTTTCCTTGTTGGAGAATTTCATAACGCATACAAAGTGTTTTGATCAAACCCACCTCCGCCTGCTCAATTCCTCCTCGGTGTTTTCCTTCCCAATTTCCTGTGTTTGTTTTAAAACACAAGTCCGCTTGGTGTTGACCTCACGTGCATGCATGGAGGATTATGTTCTGGAGCATGCAGCCTCACTCTCGATTCCCCAGCACCAGCCATCAATTGTCCATAGCTCTTCCGTTAGTGTGGGACCACATGACGCCTCATTCCGCATCCATCCTAGACATTGTCTGACTCAATCCTGTTCGGGTCTTCAAGGTCAGATTGCATTTCTAGCCTAAGGAGTCTGTTCCCTAGACTATGACTTCCACCACTATAGAAGCCTTTGCTTTGTTCCCACTTTTGTTGTGAGTGGATGCTCACTGAACAGTTCATCTGGTGAGAATTGCTTGGATGTTTCACTCCAAACTGCATTGCTTTTTATCTGACTTCTCTGGACAGCACTGAAATCTGTGACCCTAACATCGGAGGTCAAATGATCATGTGTCCACTTTGTGATGGAGTCTGTGATTACTGGAGACTCAACACCACGTGCCTGCATTCGAAGGTAAGTGTGCCGTGGGGTGGGACGGAGACTGGCCTTTCCTTCCTGTGCTGACGTCTTTCATATTAAGAGGGTTTTATGATGGTGTTGCCTTTACAGTTCTCCCATCTGTTTGATAATGAGTCAACGGTGTTCTTTGCACTCTTCATGGGGATCTGGGGTGAGTACAAAGTCTCCTCCAACTTTGTTGTTTTTTTCTTTTGTGTTATGACCATTCATGAATTTATCATATTTTGTCTAATCTGCTGTGTAATTTGTGTAACTGCCTATTTGTTTGCTTGTTTTCTTTGGCCACCAGAAATAGCTCTGGAATAATATTTTCTTTTTTGAGATAAGATCTCATAAAGTGCTGAATTCTCTGTGTAGCTGAGGTTGACTTTTATCTCCTGCCTTTGCCTTCTAAATTCTAGGATTAGTAGTGTGTACTGGGACACAGAATATAGGTGTTGCTGGGAATGGAACCCTGGAACAGTTTCTAGGCCAGCACTCTACCCACCTTCTAAAACAAGTATCTTTATATATTTATATAACAACCTTATAAGAATAAAACTTAACACGTGAATTTGCGGGGAAAAAATTGTATATACAACTTAAAAGCTTTACTACATTTTTATATGACTTATATTTATATATATCGAACTTTTAAACACATTCTGATTTTAGTTTTTAACACTGGAGATGCCGTTTGATGGATTGGATGTCTTTCCATTATAGTTTTGATTTACAGTTATTTGATCACAAGTGTTTTTGGTATTCGATATTGGACCAACAAACATGATCTCAGCATTTCCAACTGACAACATGTGAAGTGCTTTGCAAACAAAATGATTGAAAACAGACATGAACATTTCCTTTTTTAAGATTTATTCTTATCGGTTTCCATTATATGTGCCCACATGCACATGCATGCGCATGCCATATGTGCACATCCAGTGCCCAATGAGGAAAGAGGGCATTGGATCGCCTTAATCTGGGGTAAAGGTGGTTGTGACCCCCCCCCCCCGCCCCAGATGTGGATGCTGGGTACTGAACTCAGGTCCTCTGCTCAAGCAGCAGGGCCACTCCACTGCAAGGTGCCCCTCCTGCTCCTAGGGTTGCTGGCTTGTAACTTTTATTTGTCAAATTTTTGTTTGACCATCTTTTGATGACTCCATCCTGATGTTTCTTCTACTGTAGTCACACTGTTTCTGGAGTTTTGGAAACAGCGACAAGCCAGGCTCGAGTATGAGTGGGATCTGGTGGACTTTGAAGAAGAGCAACAGCAGCTCCAGCTGCGGCCCGAGTTTGAAGCCATGTGTAAACGGAAGAAAATGAATCCTGTGACAAAGGTACAGTAGCTATGGAGTGCGACTTTGCTTCCGGGGACCCTCTGCTACCGGCTGCCCTGGGATAGTCATGTTCCATCTATATGCAAGTTAATTCACAAAATTTCTATTTCTTATCATGTATACATAGTCATATATCTGAAAAAGTTCAAACCTATTTACAAATAGAAAGCTATAGTTAAACCCATAGGTGGAAGTACTACTCAGCATTGCATTTGCACCCCAGAAACAGAATTTTTCTCACATGTATCCTCACACCTGCTGTCACTGAATTATTTCTAAAGCAAATCCATTGCATCACAGTGTGAAATGTGCGAGTTTTGCTACTAGATGAGAGAAGGTGAAATGGAGGCCAGTGTGTGTGTAAATGAGTTAATAGGTTAAAGGGCATTTGTGTTAAGACAGTGGATTTATGAGCGAGGATTTTATTTGAGCAAATTTATCTTCCCGTGATACTTTTACACTGATTGCCTGGGAATGACACTGCATTGAAAGTGAGAAGTGTCTAAATTTTCAAATCTTTAACCATCAATCTGTCTGTTCTTGACTAAGGCATCTTGGAACCTCCATATTCTCATTTAAAAGTGAAATCTGCTTTATTAGCTTCATAGGTTGGGAGCCACTGTGTGCTGTGTGGAAGGCAGTGTGTTCTGCCTCAAGGTCCCTGTCTTCTGTAGAATCCCATCCTTCCTTGAAGGCACCCTAGCAGTACCACTCTCAAGATTCTTGTCACAGTTTAGGGATGAGCCAAATATCTCTTAATTATGACTGAAATGTCATGCAAATGTTCAGCATGTGTAACTCCTAGTTAACCTGGGTGTCGTGTGGGTCACTTTTTCTTGTCCCTATGTCAAAAGACCACAGACAAAAGGAACTTGTAGTTTCTGCTTAGATTACAAAGAGAGAATCCTTAAGGTCAGGAAATGTTCAGCAGCTGAAGCAGGAAACCAAGAATCACTGTCATCCACATGGGAGAGGGAGAGCATGGCTAGCCTACAGATGCTCAAAGCCCTCTCACAGTGATGTGCTTCCTCCAGTAGGGCTACACTCCCTAAAGCTTCCATAACTTCCCTAAACAGTGACACCAGCTGGAGAATATGTATTCAAATTCAAGGGCCTACAGGGGACATTTCTCACTTAAACCGCAACAGGTGTTAGGAAAAAATAATGACACTATGGGCACTCATTTGTTTGTTCCTATTTCATAGTATGAAAAGACAACAGAGGCATGCCCATGCTATCTGGTTTCATCAAAAAATAACGAAATAAAAGATGGATTGAGTGTTTACCTTTTAATTTCATGGCAAGAAGTATGTATAGATTCTTTCTGAGTCATTCAATTCATTTAGCTCTGACAGAATTGAAATGAAGAAGACAGAAATTTTTTCATTTCTGGCAATAGTTTTTATTGTTTAAGCACAATGAGAACTTTCACGAGTGGGTCTGCATCAATGACACATGTGTCCAGATACAAACATACACACACAATGGTCACTAGCACACAATAGCACACATGTATTAAGTGCACACAGGGATATAGTGCAAAGAATCCTATGTGCACACATGTGTGCACAGCGTGCATCTCCAAAGAGCTCTTAGAAGGCTTCTCAGTCCAGGGAACATTCTGTAACTCTTGGTCCAACTTGAAAATCCATAAATGTGGAATCTTATATTTTGTACAATTCTGTGGTTTGCTTGTTTCCTGGCACCTCTTCTTCACTTTGTAGCAACCTTTGTAGATAAAGTACATGTCTGACCGTAGCTCGGAATGTCAGTGGATCCACTTAATATCTTATGTATTCAAGGCTGTGAAGACTGGGGTAGAAGAGCATGACCTGCTGCGTTTGGGGTAATGACCCAGGCACTTGTGTGCTCTAAAGCAAGTAGAAAACATGCCAGATGGAATGAAATTGTACCTTGTCATATATCAGTGGTGAGGTTTGGACTCAAATGTCACTTCGGGTTCTGGTGGCCTTCTCTTCGAGAAGGAATTACTTTCCATGGGCTATATAATGAGAAACCTTTTGATTTTTCTACTGTCATTTGGAGTCCCAACTGTGAGGCCAAAGTGTGACTTTGTTATTTCTCCAATATTGCAGGAGATGGAGCCACACATGCCACGGTGCCATCGCATCCCATGGTACTTTGTGTCAGGGACCACAGTGATCTTCGGGGTAAGCACCATTTAGAAAACTTTCACCATTTCTTTAGGACACAATTCTGTATGAACCACAGTATCTCCTTAACTCTGTCTGCATCAGCTCTTGGATCATTCCTGCAATGCCCCATTCTTGCTATATTGGCTACGCCTCTTATACAAACAGGACGGAATTTACATAGAATTTTTTCCCCAAGACAGAAGTTTGTAGATAGATGTGTGGGAGAGTCCTGACTTCCCAGCTTGTTCCTGTCTGTATCATTGACTGACACCTGGCACCAAAGCAGAATGTCATATTCATCATTGCAGTCTTTGGTTAATGTTGTCAGCATCACTCATTCCCTTAAAGTATCTGTGCATATGACAAAATGAACTATTACCACTTTCTCCTTATTGAGACACAGACTCAAATCTGGGGAAGACAGATATATGGGGGGAGACATTCCTTTCCGTATCTATAGCTAATATGTTTATCCACCACCATGACTTTTTGTTCCTTTCCTTTCAAAATCTGTATACTGGTCACAGTTGGATTTTAATTTTGGGAAGTGAGATGGCGGTATTGGCTTCTGAGAGAATGTGATATTGAGGTGTAAACAAATTAACTATTTTAGACAGTGGTTTAACTCTCTCCAATGTGTGTGTGTGAGTGTGTGTGTGTGTGTGTGTGCATATGTCTGTGTATGTGCATGTGTCTATGTGTTTGTGTGTGAGTCTATGT